ATTTGGTGGCAGAAGCAATCAGAGAATCAAATGGGAAGCACTGACTTCGGTGGACACGAGAGCAAAATTTGCCAACTACATCGCATGACGAATTGAACCGATCCCGGTGATGACCACAGATATGGCAACCGAGCAGCTCTTTAAAAGCGGCATACTCGGTCGAATTTCCAGACAGCAAACAACGTATTCTGACAGATCATTTGCCCGTTCCGATGTGAAAAGAATGGCAGTCTAAGTCTTGAAGAATAGGTCTGGACACCCTCTTACCGAGGATAAGGACAAACTTCGACGATGGAGAGAGTGGTGACAAGACCTGGTGACAGATGTAACCAGAGGATCAGGTAAGAAACATCATCAGCAGAAAGAAGAGCGTAACTTGCAAACAACATTGCACGGCGGTTTCAACAGATGCTAGTGATGACAGCTGATGTGGAAACTGAGTGAATGCTCTTTTTGAACGGCTTACTCGACGCTGCCGCTGAAAGTTACCTTTGAAAACAGGTGGACCTGCCGCCTTACTGTTAAAAACGATCTTCCTTGTGGAGACGAGACGTTCAACTGTCACCGAGGATACTGCATTCAAGAGATAGCTATGAAGCAAAGAGCCGCGAACTCAAATGCTGTACGAAGAAGTCCATCAGGCAGCAGCGAAAACCGTTGTCCAGAACGAAAACGAATGCCTAGAAATAGTTCAGGTACTGAGGTGTTTCAGTCGAATTTTCAGACGGCAAACCGGATATTCTGGCAGATCATACACGGTCCCGAGATGGACAGAAATGCAGTCTGAGAGTTGTGATGAAGAAATCCGGCCACCTTCTTACAAGGGAGAATATGAACTTTGGCGATGGCAAAAGTTGCTTACCGAACTTCTTAGCTCCTGGCAGCTGCTTGAGGACTTGTCTGAAGAGCTGCAGTTGCAGAGTATTACTCTTTCGTTAGGCGAAGTCATAAAAACTGTGCATTGCTTGAAAAGTTTCCAGGCTCTGTAGTCGATGAAATCCGCCACGAAATTCTTGAAGGTTTAGGCGAACAAGGCTAACATGTGTCTGTGAAACTGTAATGGTTACGGGAAAGACGACACTTTACGTGAGAACGTAAGTTTTAGTATCTATTTTTAACAAGACCATAGGGAGTGTTGCAGTTACATGAAAACTCTTTTTGGCCTCCCAAGAAATGTTTGCGCAGATGAGTTGGACAGGAGGTACCGCTGAGTAACTGACTCTGAAGTACAAGAAAAGCGGTGTCACCCGAAGCACCTCCTACCAGATTTTCGCTGTACGCCAGATTGTTGAGAAATGGTGGGAGCTCATCCAATTTACGTGTGCTTTGTGGACTTGGAGAAAGCCTATTATTGGATCCATCGCAAAAGGCCATGGCATGCCTGAAAATATACGAGATCGATGGCCGGTCGTAACGGCAGTTCAGTCACTCTATGTGGATAGCAGATGCAGCGAAATGTGAGTAAGTGGCATTGAGTCAAGACCTTTAAGCGTTGGCAGTGCTCTCCGCCAAATCTGCTTTCTGTACCCTCTCCTGATTGTGTTGTACTTCGATAGGATAACCAGTCAAAGGAGTATATCTGAGCGGGAGATGAGGTAGCATCTTCTGAAACGCATCTACAGCGCTCTCTGGCTCGTAGCTGATTGCGATTTGGTCGGCATGCGTATGAACGTATCTGAAATGAAAGGCCTAGTGCTTTCTCGTTCTCCTATCCGTTGCTCTCTTCAGATTAACGGAGAAGCAGTGGAGCAAGTGGAGAAGTTCAAGTACCTCGAAGTGTATTTACTAGTGATGGAAAATTTGAGAAAGAGATCGACCGGCGAATTTGAGTTGCCATTGGCGTTCTGCGTGAACTAGCCTGATCCATTGTGACCAAAGCAGAGCTCAGTCTGAAAACTAAGCTCTCGGTGTTCAAGTCGATTTTTATCCCCATACTTACCTACGGTCG